CCAAAGCAGCTGAAACTGATTATCAACCCCCTCTGCTACTTCACTGACCAGATCCATATCCCAGGAGTTTAAATGACTTGATGCTATACTCTGATTAAAAAGCGTTCCTTTCATTTTTTTGAGCAGTGTTTTTCACTTTCATCAATGATATGGGGCTTAATTTTTCCCACTGTCACCAACATTGGGGCTTGTCACCAACATAGGGACTCAGAGGCAGAAAGTACATGACTGAGGGACATGCAGAATATCGAGGCTAATACTTACCACCTAACCAATAAAACAACCACCCCCTCAACCTTCTCCCACCTGAAATAACCACGCGACTCTCCTTTTGGTGTAAAAACGGCCATAGCAGCCCATTCACTGTGTATAATTGTGTTGTGAACTGTGATTGGTCACAGTGATCACATGGTACACACATGATCAATCAGAGCTAATCACAACCAAACTCAATTTCATTCAGTAAAATAGTTGCTTAACCGCTTCCATACCGGGCACTTTTACCCCCTTCCTGCCCAGCCCAATTTTCATGTTTCAGCGCTCTCTCACACTTTGAATGACATTGCGCGGTCATGCAACACTGTACCCAAACTAAAATTTTATCATTTTCTTCACACAACTAGAGCTTTCGTTTGGTGGTATTTAATCACCGCTGGGGTTTTTATTTTTTGCTAAATTAACAAAAAAAGACTGAAAACACGTTTTTTTTCTTTGTTTCTGTTTATAAAATGTTTGCAAATAAATATATTTGTTCTTCATAAATTTAGGCCGAGCTGTATTCTACTACATTTCTTTGGTGAAAATAACCCAAATTAGTATTTATTATTTAGTCTGTAGGAAAGTTATAGAGTTCACAAACTATGGGATATATCTGAAAATTGGTCGATCCTGAAGTACTGATGGCCAATCTAATTTCTTGAGGTCCAAGAATGTCAGGACAGTACAGAGATCCCCAAATGACCCCTTTTTGCAAAGTAGACAGTCCGAGGTATTTCATAACAGGCATGGCGAGTTTTATGAAGTTGTAATTTTTTTGTCATAATTTTTCGGAAAATGAAGAAATTAAAAAAATGATTTTCACTATTTTTTTTTTTTTTTACATACTGTCACCAGTGCAGTACAGCGTCATCATATAACTGGCATGGCGGTGATCAGGGGCACTGACTGGTGACAGTACGAAAAAAAAAAATGAACATTTTTTTTATTATTATTTTTTTTTATTACATTTTTTTCTCTTTTTTTAAGATTTTTTTTTCATATTTCACTATGACCAAAGTAGTATAATGTTACCATAGTAACATTGTACTACTTTGGGGAAGTGATCAGTATTTTTTTTTTTTTTTTTTACACAATTTGCTTATAGCAAAGAATTACTTTGCTATAAGCAAGCATTTACCTGAATGAAATCGATTCATTCAGGTTTTTTTTTTTTTTTTTTTTGTGATTTGGCCACGGCTAATCACATGACACGTGATTGGCCCAGCTTGTGCATGTGATCGCTGTGACCATTCACAGCTAGACACACTTGTATACAATGGATGGCTTCCTTACATGCCATCCATTGTATACAAGTGTCATGTGACCTGCTGTGATTGGTCACAGCAGGTCACATGGTACTGGCAACGGGGCCGGTACACAGAACTGTCATCGGCCGTGTCCGAGGTACACGGCCAGTGACAGATCGCGCCGCAGCGCGGCCCTGTGGGCATGTGCAATGCGCGCTCTGGAAAGGACGCCATATGGCGTCCACCCGGAGGGATGAGCTGTTCGCCCGGCCGCCATCTGGCTATAGGCTGGGCGGCAACGGGTTAACATAACTCTTACATAACACTTCATACAGTACAATCAAATAATAACTGACAGTAATGATCCCAACCGGGTCCAAGGTCTTCCAAGGCACTGTTACTCACATCAATAACTCAGCTGTATCTGACACCCAATGAAAAGGCCCCCAGCCGCTACTACACTGCCTCGGGGACAATACTACAACTACGTAGTCCCAGATACAGCCAATGAACTCCCACCTTACCAACATGACCTTATAATTGGGAAGGAACACCCATACCTACGATGGGCCCAACCCATAATCCACCAAATGGTCACTCCAACACCGCCTTCAAAGACCCAGCGACCCCTGCCGGCTGCCATGACAAAACAAAAAACGCCAAACACCCCAGGACACAAAATGCTGATCAAGGAAAGAAGATAAAATCAAGGAACCCAAACAAAACCAAACAACACGACAAACACAAAGGACAAGAGGAATAACAAAAACAAAACAGCAAAACAGGTCCAGGGAGGGAGGGAGGGGGGGGGAGAAACCTCACCCGTGCTGGCACAAGCTCCGACTGACACCCAGCAAGTCCCAACCCCTCTCCTCATCCTGGAAAGACCACCCTCAAACTCCAATACTCCAATCAGGTGAGTAACCCCCTACCTACTGAATATCCTCCCACCCAAATCCAATCTCCGCCTCGTCTGCAAGCCGCAGTCATGCTGGCCCTCCCCTTAGCTCCGTTCAGTCCAGGCCATGACTTATGAGCTGATAAGATTTCTGGCAGGATCAACTGGGGTTTTTTTTTTGCTTTTATTAACCACTAGCCTACAGGGCACTTATACCCCCTTCCTGCCCAGGCCAATTTCCAGCTTTCAGCGCTGTCACACTTTGAATGACAATTGCGCGGTCATGCAACACTGTACCCATATGACATTTTTATCATTTTTTTGTGACAGATAGAGCTTTGTTTTGGTGGTATTTAATCACCTCTGGGTTTTTTATTTTTTCTTAAACAAACCAAAAACCACTGAAAATTTGGGGAAAAAAAGTTTTTTCTTAGTTTTTGTTATAAAATTTTGTAAATAAGTGATTTTTCTCCTTCACTGATGTGCGCTAATGAGGCTGCAGTGATAGACACTGATAGGTGGCACTGATGAGGAGGAGGTAGGTGGCACTGATGGGCATTGACAGGCATCACTGATGGGCACTGAAAGGCAGCACTCATATATGGCACTGATAGGCGACACTGATTGGAACTGTTAGGCGGCACTGATGGACACTGATAGGTGGCACTGACTGGCGCTGATAGGTGGCACTAATTGGCGGCACGGATAGGTAGCACTGACTGGCACTGATAGGCAACACTGAAAGGCAGCATGGGCTGGTATGTGGCAATTATGGGCACTGACAGGTGGCACTGATCATCAGGGGCACTGATGATTGCCCTGATGATCAGTGTAGATGTCCCCCTGAGGAATGCCGCTTACCTGCTGCTCTCCTCTCCTCCTCATGAACTATCAGCATGAGGAGTGGACTGCTGATAACCGGCATTTCCTATTTACATGCGATCAGCTGTGATTGGACACAACTGATCACATGATAGAGCCGACGTCATCAGCTCTTTACTGCGATTGGTGTTCTGCTGTGTCCCAGGGACACAGAGCACCACCGATCACCGCGAAACCACCCCGGGGGCGCACGTGCGCAGATTGAGTGGGAGGATATCATATGACACCCTCCCAGAATGAGAGAGCCGCCGCCCACATGTTATTTCCTCATATGGCGGGCGGGAGGCGGTTCGAATTGTGTACACCAATGAGATGGCGGCAAACTTCAGGACCCGATATTTTTTCAGAGATGATGCTTTAAAAGCCCCTACAGGTCATCAGTTTAGGGTTACCTATGAATAATGGGCCTAGAACTACTGAACCCCCTCCGATGTGTGCGCAGATTTGTAACGTGAAGCGCAAACAACTTCTGCATGTAGGCGCCACCCCCGACATGTGCATTTACCCTCCCCCGGTCACATCAAACCCTACTTACAAACCAAAAACCACTGAAAATTTGGGGGGGAAAAAAGTTTTTTCTTAGTTTTTGTTATAAAATTTGTAAATAAGTGATTTTTCTCCTTCACTGATGTGCGCTAATGAGGCTGCAGTGATGGACACTGATAGGTGGCACTGATGGGCACTGATGATGAGGAGACACTGGTAGGTGGCACTGATGGGCATTGACACAGGCATTCACTGATGGGCACTGAAATGCAGCACTGATAGGTGGCACTGACCGGCACTGTTAGGTGGCACTGATAGGCAGCACTGACGGGCACTGATAGGCGGCACTGACTAGCACTGATAGGTGGCACTGACTGGGCACTGATATTGCATTGATAGGCGGCACTGACTGGCACTGTTAGGCGCACTGATAGGCAGCACTGACGGGCACTGATAGCACTGCTAGGTGGCACTGACTGGCAGCACTGATAGGTGGAACTGATTGGCATTGATAGGTGGCACTGGCTGGCACTGATAGGTGACACTGATAGGCAGCTCAAATTAAGAAATTAAAAAAAAAAAATCACTTTTTTTTTTTATTTAAAGAGTTAATAAGAAAACCCCCTCACTGTGTAAGGGAAGAGAAAAAAATCTCAGATAGTGTAATATTGCAAGACACCATTCATAAGTGAAATCAAGGATTAAGGCCAGTCACATTCAATTCACTTTAAAAAGGCATATTTATTAGGACCAGCTTCTTTCCAGATGAACAGTAGATGCAAGGCAACCTCCCACGGAATCTCACATCACAGCTCCAGGTTACAGCAGAAGCTCCACAGAGACCACACATATACAGATCCCAAAAGATGGCCGCTGGAACGCACCGCTCAGCGTGCGTTCCACTCACCGGAAGTGACGTCAGACGTACGGAGTAAAAACCGGAAATGCGTCAACGCGTTTCGCCCCTCCCATCGGGCGTTCTCAAGACGTTCATTTCCTGTCTGAAGCTCCCTTATATACCCAGCAGGGACCCACCCCTCCGTTCCAATTGGTCAAAACACCTCCCCGGGATTATCAAAAAACCACTCCTCCTGTTATGTGACGTGAGAGTCCTTTACAAGCGACATGTATATTAACACATGTCCCCAGTTTAATTTTAATTTTTAATTTTATCACTACTTTATATTTTATTGCTATCTAGTAGTGATGTCATTCATTGCTCATGTATTAAAGAATGTTTTTTGTAATTGAGGCATTGTTTAAGATTGTATTTGTGTTTTTCCCACTGGGGACATGTGTTAATATACATGTCGCTTCTGGGAGATAATTTAACAGTGTTGGGAATACCTTAAAAAAGATTTTAAATTATGTAGGCATATGCCTCATTTGTAAAGGACTCTCACGTCACATAACAGGAGGAGTGGTTTTTTGATAATCCCGGGGAGGTGTTTTGACCAATTGGAACGGAGGGGTGGGTCCCTGCTGGGTATATAAGGGAGCTTCAGACAGGAAATGAACGTCTTGAGAACGCCCGATGGGAGGGGCGAAACGCGTTGACGCATTTCCGGTTTTTACTTCGTACGTCTGACGTCACTTCTGGTGAGTGGAACGCACGCTGAGCAGTGCGTTCCAGCGGCCATCTTTTGGGATCTGTATATGTGTGGTCTCTGTGGAGCTTCTGCTGTAACCTGGAGCTGTGATGTGAGATTCCGTGGGAGGTTGCCTTGCATCTACTGTTCATCTGGAAAAGAAGCTGGTCCTAATAAATATGCCTTTTTAAGTGAATTGAATGTGAGTGGCCTTAATCCTTGCTTTCACTTATGAATGGTGTCTTGCAATATTACACTATCTGAGATTTTTTTCTCCCCGGGTGTCGGATGGTGGAGCCTATGCTGGAGGGGAGGATTCCTATAGAGTGGATACGAAAGAGGGTTTAGGATCCCATAAAATTCCTAAAAGGCGTTTCATTTCACCTATATCTGGTGAGTGCATTTGATATTGGTTTTTCACACGGGTGGAAGGTGGAAGTTTCTTTATAATAGAAGAAGAATTTGAAAATATTTCTTTTTGCACAAATATTTTTGAGATTTTTTGAACTTTTGGTTTTTTTTGATGGACTTCACCATTGATTTAATTTTTCATTTATGTTTGCACTTTGTATATTGATTTTATATTGAGGTCTATGTTTGCGCTGTTTTTCTTTATTTTTTACTATTTGTGTTGATCACATTGCACAGCAGCAGGATAGAACCTGTAGTAGGGTGTTTCACTGGGCGCAGGAAGAATTTTTAGAAGGGAAGATAAGGCTTGTCACCATGCTTCCAGAACAATGTACTGGGACCATGAAAGGCTTTCCAAATAGATAAAATGAGAGAAAATGAATGTTAAAAAAAAAACAAACCCCAAATAAAACAAAAAAATGTAACAACCGTTTATCTCATGTCCAGCCTCGAACCTATGACCATGCACTCCCTGGACGGGCACACTCACCACTGTGCTACGGTTGTTACCATATGTATAGACTGGGTCAAACTGACTCTTGTTTTCAAAAACTGCCAACTGTCACCTGCCCAATGTCAAGTAGTTATAGCTCAGTGCTTAACCGCTTCCATACCGGGCACTTTTTACCCCCCTTCCTGCCCAGGGCAATTTCCAGCTTTCAGAGCTATCACACTTCGAATGACAATTGCACGCTCATGCAACACTGTACCCATAGGAATTTTTTAGCATTTTTTGAGACAGATAAAGCTTTATTTTGGTGGTATTTGTTCACCACTGGGATTTTTATTTTTGTTTTGCTATGTAAATTAAAAAGTCCAAAAATTTTGAAAAGAAATATTATTTCATCATAAATCTTGGCCAAAATGTATTCCGTTATATGTTTAGTAAAAAAAAAAACAACCCAAATTAGCTTTTATAATAATTTTTAAACACTTTTTTTTTACATTTTTTATTTTTTTATATTATTAATTTATTTATTTATTACATACTGTCACCCTAGCAGTACAGTGTCACCAGTACAGTGTCACTGTACTACTTGTGGGGGGTGAAGATTTTTTTCTTTTTACACTGATTGCTTTTATACCCAAAAAGGCAGTAAAAGCAATCATTTCTCCTCTCTAGCTGCATTCTTGCAGCCATTGATAAATAGTGTGAGAGCCGTGATTGCTCACAGCTTGTCACATGGTACAAGGCTGTTGTGAATAGCCTTGTACCATGTGACCTCTGTGATCATTCACAAATTTCACATGTAGTAAGCAATGATGTCACAAGTGACAATTTGCTTACTACTCTGCATGTGATCACTGATTGGCTAATCAGTGATCACATGATCGGACCTCGCACGGAGGTCCCGTCCGATGATCGGTGTTTCACTGTGTCCGGAGGACACAGTGGGCACCGGATTACGGTGCTGCGCACTCCCAGGGAGCGCGCACAAGCAGGGGGCCAGGAAAGTCATTTATAAACGGCCACCCGACCCTGTACTGCCACCGTCCGAACGTTTATATACAACGGCTGGATGGGAGGTGGTTAATCACCGCTGCGGTTTTTTTTATCCCTTGCTAAATTAACAAAAAAAGACCAAAAATTTGGAAAAAAGAAACACGTTTTTCTTTGTTTCTGTTATAAAAGTTTGCAAATAAATAAATGTTCTTCATAAATGAAAAATAACCCAAATTAGGATCTTTGGTGAAAATAACCCAAATTAGGATGTTATTTTATTTAGTCTGGAGGAAAGTTATAGAGTTCACAAACTATGGGATATATCTGAAAATTGATCAATCCTGAAGTACTGGCAGCCAATCTAATTTCTTGAGGTCCAAGAATATCAGAACAGTACAGATATCCCCCAAATGACCCCTTTTTGCAGAGTAGACAGTCCAACGTATTTCATAAGAGGCATGGCGAGTTTTTTGAAGTTGTATTTTTTTTGTCATAATTTTTCGGAAAATGAAGAAATGCAAAAAATTATTTTCACAATTTTTTTTTACATACTGTCGCCAGTGCAGTCACAGTGCGTAAAATCATCATAACTGGCATGGCGGTGATCAGGGACACTGACTGGTGACAGTATAAAAAAAAAATTGATCATTTTTTTATTATTATTTTTTATTACATTTTTTTTCTCTTTTTTTAATATTTTTTTTCATATTTCACTATTACCAAAGTAGTATAATGTTACCATAGTAACATTGTACTACTTTGGGGAAGTGATCAGTATTTTTTTTTTTTTTTTTTTACACAATTTGCTTACAGCAAAGAATTACTTTGCTATAAGCAAGCATTTACCTGAATGACATCGATTCATTCAGGTTTTTTTTTTTTTTTTTGTGATTTGGCCACGGCTAATCACAAGACACGTGATTGGCCCAGCTTGTGCATGTGATTACTGTGACCATTCACAGCTAGACACACTTGTATACAATGGATGGCTTCCTCACATGCCATCCATTGTATACAAATGTCATGTGACCTGCTGTGATTGGTCACAGCAGGTCACATGGTACTGGCAACCGGGCCGGTACACTGAACTGTTATCGGCTGTGTCCGAGGTACACGGCCAGTGACAGATCGCGCCGCAGCGCAGCCCTGTGGACATGTGCAATGCGCGCTCTGGAAAGGACGCCATGTGGCAAGCAGGGGGCAAGTAAAGTCGTTTATAAATGGCCACCCGACCCTGCACTGCCACTGTCCGGACGTTTATATACAACGGCCGGATGGGAGGTGGTTAATCACCGCTGCGGTTTTTATCCCTTTGCTAAATTAACAAAAAAAGACCAAAAATTTGAAAAAAGAAACACGTTTTTCTTTGTTTCTGTTTTTAAAAGTTTGCAAATAAATAATTGTTCTCCATACATTTAGGCCGAGATGTATTCTGCTACATGTCTTTGGTGAAAATAACCCAAATTAGGATGTATTTTTTAGTTTGTAGGAAAGTTATAGAGTTCTCTAACTATGGGATATATCTGAACATTGATCAATCCTGAAGTACTGACAGCCAATCTAATTTCTTGAGGTCCAAGAATATCAGAACAGTTCAGATATCCCCCAAATGACCCCTTTTTGCAGAGTAGACAGTCCAACGTATTTCATAAGAGGAATGTCAAGTTTTTTGAAGTTTTTTTTTTTTTTGTTATAATTTTTCGGAAAATGAAAAAATTGCAAAAAATAATTTTCACAATTTTTTTTTTACATACTGTCACCAGTGCAGTACAGCGTCATCATATAACTGGCATGGCAGAAATCAGGGACACTGACTGGTGACAGTATGAAAAAATATATATATATTTTTCTTTACATTTTTTAATTTTTTTTTATTATTTTAAATTTTTTATTGATTTTCTTTTCTTTTTTTAAGATTTTTTTTTCATATTTCACTATGTCCAAAGTAGTACAATGTTACCATAGTAACATTGTACTACTTTTGGGGAAGTGATGAGTATTTTGTTTTACACAATTTGCTTATAGCAAAGAATTACTTTGCTATAAACAAGCATTTACCTGAATGACATCGATTCATTCAGGGGTTTTTTTTGTTTTTGTTTTTTTTTGTGCTT